CTTTCTATCAAAAGAAGAAGTCACCAGAGATGTGACGATTGACAGGACTTTGTCTTTTACCTTCAAGCTCTGCAGAGCTGCAGTGCAGGTTGATTATATATATATATATATTATAACCTGTATAACGCATCATCACGCTGTCATCACAGTCCTGAACTTCTGCCCTGAGCAAATAACAGAACACTATTGCCCCACTAATGTCCAGTATAGCACGATATGGTCCAGAGGGTAACAGCAAGGGAAGAAACTTCATGGAGCAAAAGAGAGAATAGTTTCTCAAAGATTCAATACGCATTTTTGGTGTTTTGGCAGCCTGACAATGACTTTCCCACACAACGAAACTGCATTGTCAATTAAGTTTCGAGGGAAGCTTAAGTGACAAAGTTTTGTTTCACGTATATTTGTTTTTGATGATGTTTTACTAAACCTAACCAAGTAGTTTCATTTTTTGTTGTTTTATTTCAATCTACAGCGTGAATCACATGTTTAAAACTGCGACTGCAATCCAGGAGAAAACACTTTACCTCGGAAATGTAATTGCGAATGCCGGTCGTTGTTTTGGAGCCTTTATTAGTCTTTGTGACGTGTGTGCAAAGCTTGCAGTTGATCTTCTGGTCATTTATATGAAATATTGTTGTGTATTGAGTCTGTAAGACTTCAGCAGAACACCGGAGCGCTAGTCGGGTTCATTCGAAGCGTATTTTCGCGCGCTGGATTTAGATTTAACTAAACGCGGACACAGCGCTGTTCTGTTGCGGTGTAACACGTTACAGAGCAGGGAACGAGCGGCAACGAGCATCTTTACAATGAGGATTCATTGAGATCTTCTGTTGCTAGGGCAACCGCTTTGGTCCAAGTTGACTTCCTGTCGGCTGCTGCATTAACAAACATAAGAGGAAATACAAAGGGGCCCATTTAGAACGGTTACGTTGTCAAGTTTGAAAAGGCCTGTTCGTAAAACATTACATGATGTCGGATTCATCCTCGCAGTCTGCAGAAAGACGCAGATTGTTCAAGACGACGTCGACAGGAAATTAAATTCCTGATTCTAGAAAGTATTTGTACCACGAGGCACAAAACAGAAACCCAGTCCCTTGCTGTCTTGTTTTATATTTATTGTTGACTGGCTAATAAAATGCCAATGCTAGTGGATAAGCTGAGAATGCCCACAGCAGGAAATGACTGGAGCCAGACATGCGAGTATTTCTAATGCAGAACAACTTTTTAAAGAAAACGCACCCACAGAATAAATGTTGAGATTACTTGATGCGGTGCAGATCTTCTGCGGATACGCACCGGTGACTTGGAGGATTATTTCAACTGACAGTACATCTGCACCAGCGAAACAGCCACTGAGAAATAAGCCGATCATGCTGTGAAAGAAACTTAATAACCTGTCTGGCTCACTTAAACAGCAACGCTTTTTGCTTTCAGATAAATCCTTTGCAGCTTTGTTGCCGTAATTGAAATTTCACAATCTGCCCTCAGAGGGACAGAGTTGTTATCTCGGAGCGCTGCGAATGGTCAGCGCAGCGTCGTTGACAGAGAGTTCAATAAAACAGTACTCGTCATTATGATCCCTTCCACATCAGCGGCTTTGAATAACACTGAATATCAGAAGTGTCACAAAACAGGTATTCATGTTTTTGTAATGCCTTTCATCCCCACAGGGGGTGCTAGTGTGTTTCAAAGGACATCTATGCCAAAAACCTTTTCAGGGGTTTTCTCTTTTTCTTTTTTTTTCCTTATTCCAATTTTAAAATCAAACCGGCACCAATAAGCCATGTAATGTGAAGGCCAGAGATGGTATCCTCTTTAGCTCGCTCTATGGAATGACTTTCATGCTCAGCTGCTGTCCAATTTTATTCCCAGGAGTTGCTAGGCGACAGGAGCATCCTCATTACAAGTGTATGCTGGGAAATGATGTGACCCATAAATGAATTCTGCAGATCTGTGACTTATCATCAGCCGTCTGCACTGTTGTCATGAGGGGTCAGTGAAAGAGAGGGATTCTATGCAAATGGTCCATGAGGTCGTTTAGCTGAACCGTTTCAGTATTTGCTTTGTCCTGCAGAACCAGACGGATTAGGTTTTAATGTTTCAGCTCCATTACACCACGGACAGATGTGATCTATTGTATTTTGATGCAGTTTATCAGTCTGCATCATTAAGAAGCAATTAAGTAATTCAAGAATATTTTTAAATCTGCAGCCAGCAGAGAGGCTATGATGGCTGGAACAGTGTTTTCTGAGAGCTGATTGGACCAGTGGATTAATTCTCCAGATTCATATCTTATTATTTGCCTTTCAACATTATTACATGGGTCGATGAAGAGGAGGGGTTCTATTAAAGTGGGCCAGGGTTTCATTTTGTCATGTCAGGATGGCAATACAGTGGACAATAAGAAAACGCATAGATGAAGGGTGCATTTCATCGTCTGAGAAATGAGAGAAATTCTACCCTTAAATGTCAATAAACGGTAAACGATACCCTTTTTTCCACCAGTATTTGTTGCAGGTTTTTTAAACTCAAGAAAACTCACAAAAAAATAGGATCTGGACTCTTCCCATTGTCAGCATCTGTTTTCTTTTTTTTTCTGGTGAGTCTCTTTTGACACCATGAATGCAGTGGAAAGCACTCTTTGAAACTCTCAAACCAGAGGTGGTGACTGTTGGAATAGTGGAAAGACTCACAGAGATCATTTTGATGAGTTTGAATAGTGTGGTTTACGATGATCAGCGCAGTAAAAAGGTTTCTGTCAATGGAGTCTGGTGACTTTTGAGGAGAGCATATTATTTATGTTTTGTAAGTTAAAAAATAGTAATAATTGCCCAAATCCCTGTTGTTTGTATTTATTATATGTCCGTTTCAGTGCGGAATTAAAGACTAACTGCAGACACATTTGTCCCGGGAATGAATTCAGATTATAACCTTTTAGCACTGAAGACAAAATCAAGATGTTAGTCAGTGTTCGTGTTTCTGTTGTCCAGTGAGAAAGGGGCTTAAAAAACCTTCAGCGTGAAAATGTATCTTGTAATCTACTGCAGTGATTTCCACCAAGCTTCTTCTGCAATTGGAGAGAGACTGTGTGGTGTATAAAATAAACAAAATATGTGTTTAAGATTTAATAATCACATATGGGATTTAAATTTGCTGTGATGCTGATGATGTATTTATTGTTAGAAAAAAAGCTAAAAATGATCGTGAAATGGACATCTACGTTTTTAGACTCCTAATGATTAGCAGATCATAGCATGAATGTAAACTGAACAGAACTTTCTGAAAAAAATAAAGAAAAGAGAGACCAAGACTAAACATACTCAACTCCAGGATTATGCCGTTGTGAATGGATTCACAGCCACGGATCAGCCATTGTGTCTCTGTAGTTTAGTGATATCAGACAATTCCATGAAGCCTGCCCATCGATCAGACCGGTACGATGACAGAGTACTTGAGCCCGTCTGATCGGGGTACATCGGACGTCTGCTGTACAGTAACTACAGCTCTTTAACCAGGTAACCTTCTATGCAGCCACCGTGATGAGCAGCGTGGATTAATGAGTCCTCTAAATCACAGCAAAGACTAACTAATGCTGCGGAGCATGAGCTGAATCTTAATCACCTGCCAGAGGGGATCCCATTGCCTCATTCTGGGTGATAACTAATACAACACCTGACCGATAATGCTGCCATTTAATTTCTTCCTCAATCATCTCCCATCTCTGTTGAAGAACATTTAGTACATGGCAGAACTTTGCTGCCTCACATCTGAAACAAACCTCATTTGTTTCTCTGCAGGGAGATTTGTCGTGCGCACAAATATATTATAAATATATAAATACAAGTATATTGCATTAAAAACAGCCACATATTATATGATCATGGGAGATGCATATCTCATGAATGGTGCACCTCAGTAGATTATAAGGGCCCTGTCTGCGGAGCGGCTAATGGAGGCGGTGTAGAGGGAATAAGACCTGTTAGCGTACTGTGTTTGGCTGAAATGCGAGCCCGCCAGGCTTTTTCACCACTGTTCTCACAGAGATAAATCCCTGTTGCACTTAGTAGTCATCCATTTTTAATGGCGCAGCCTCAGCTGGGGAGATGCATGAAGGCAGAGGAGGAGTGAACAGGGAGGGAGGAAGGGGGGGGGGGGGGCAGCCAAGGTGTGGATGACACCAGCTGGTTGCCTCGGGCTAATGTATGTACACTCTTCTTGATGTGTTTTTGTAGTGCATGCTCAGCGTCCGCAGCAATTATGAACGTCTGAGGTTGTTTTTCTGGCAAGTCGGGCCGCAAGACAGTGAAACCATTCATGAGCTCATCATGGTTTTATTTATTGTGCCCTCATTGATGGCGCATTTGTAAGAAACCGAGCACTCACAGCTGCACAACTGTGTTCAGCTCTTTCCGGAAAAAAACCCCTGACAAGAAGCAACAGCAAAGCTCTCTGCCTGCTTTGAGCCCCCTTTTAAAGTCTGCAGCAGCCATTCCACAGATGGCAGGCGGAGAAGGCCGGGAGGGCCAGCTATTCAACCCACTTCAGTGCAAACATGATCCGTTTGAACGGCGAGGCCTAAGCCAAGACATTCTTGTGTGGGCAGACCTCCCTAAACAACCGCGAACAACCGCCGCACTGTGTTTGTCCTTCAGACACAAATCTTTGAGATACCAGAGCAGCAGATCAGTTTTGGTTTGTCCAAAAAGCAAAAAGGTTGTTTTATGCATGAGGGGCTCAAACGCTTACACGATCCACATCCAGTCTGTTAGTTAGTCAGTGAGGCAGTCAGTTAGCAGGCCAATTAGGGCAAGCAGGGGTGTTCCTGGAAGTGTGTTTTTTAGTCGACTTCCCTGCTTGATTCAATCAGTCCATCTGCAAATCACCAAGTCAGTCAGTAAACCGGTAATTCTAGACTCCTGCACACCAACAAAAGAATGCAAAAGGGGTTTATATACCCACTCCGTTTAACCAACTGAAGAACACGACCACATAGCTCCAAATATTTGATAGGTTTTTATTTCTCTAGTGGATTCATATGTTGTTATTCTGCACAGCAGCATACAGGAAATCGTGGCAAAATATAAATAACAAAGTTCAACAGTGTTTTCTTTTTCTATTATTCATTTAATCAAAAAAATCCTCTGTTAAAAGTGGCAAATTGTGTCAGCCTGTTTCAATATCCACTCTCTGGCACACTCTCAAGAATGTAACATTGACCAACTAAACTTTAAAAAGTATGGGTATAATCGTTATTTACAGACAATCACCTTTTGGTGAGCAATGCTTATAGCTTCTTGGAAATTCACTTCCGTCATGTTAAATGCGACAAAATGAAAATACAATTATGTTATACAAAGATCAAAAATACTATCAAAACCCTTATTATAAATGGCAGCACTATATCAATAAACTGCTGTTGACATTTTACATGTAAGTACAAAATCCTGTTGAGGTAGCGCCCTCTGAAGTCACTTGTAATGTTAAAATACTGAATAAACATCACTTTATATACAATACAGCAAATCTCTCTTCTTTCTTCAATGCAATTGTATTCCTTTGGTAAACAAAACTGTCAGAAATGTGCAGTCCTGCAAGTGACACTTTCAATCATACATTCACAACATTTTTGCATCTTTTTTTGGGATTATTCAGGAAAAGAAATAACGGGGATAACATGTTGTTGTTGTTTGCTAACATTCATTTGCTCTTTTTCACCCCACGCTCGGAGTGAAAAGACTCTCAGAGCAGGCATGAGACTGTCCGGTGAAGATGTTGGGCAAATCAAAACAAACCACCAAAAAAAAAAAAACGCTGTAAAGAAAGAGAGACCTGGCGGAGAAAAGGAAATCCAGTGTGTCGCACTTATTTGGGAATGTAAACATACAGAAACGCAGGCTAGTAGCTCTCATTTCTGACTGCTTGTTAAGTCGGATGACGTTTTCATCACATAGCATTGGAGTAAAAGTTTGGCTTGGCAACAATTGATTATAATGTCCCCCAGAGAACATGAGTCCTAAACAGAGGCCACATTGTCTCTTTTTTTTTTTTTTTTCTTCCTGCCTCGCAGATTGAATGTCAACTTTTTGAGCACGTTGGAAAATATGTTGTGGAGTTTTTTTTTTTAGGCAGGCAGATGGGAGCAAAGAGTTCCTCGTCCAGTCAGACGCACACAAGCACTCATCAATGACACATTCTTGAGCTTCTTTAATGGCAAACATAACTTTGGTTTTCTAAGACGAGAAAGAAAATCGCAGCGAGTTTAGCTCACCGTACAAAAATACTTGGTAGAAATATGACATTCATCCCCTTTTTGCCAATGTCAGTGTGTTTCCCTACATGACCAAAATACTTCTCTTCAAATGTATTCACACTTTGTGACTATTGATACATGTTTTATATGCACACTCAAATGACTATAAACTAGCAAGACAAATAAATCCAATGTATAAAGCATAAAATCGTTCTATGTCGATAAAATAACTATAAAAATATAAGAGATCTTAGAGAGAGAGAGAGAGAGAGAGAGAGAGAGAGAGAGAGAGAGAGAGAGAGAAAAAAAGGATAAAATCAATATGTTTATGAAACTGGGATAAAGGCTAAAGCCGAAATCAAAACAGTCATCTGGAAATAGTTCAGTGCAATTCAATTTACTCTGTAGTCATGTCTGTTTAGAATATTTTCATCCTCTTACCACCCACAGCCCTCCCTCCCTTTAATGGTCGCTGGGATGGCTGGTCTTTTGACAGTGGACAGTATTTTATCGTGTGGGCATTGTCCCCGTTGGCACTGCACAGGGGGCAGGTGTAAGCCCTCAGAATCGGGCACACGACCCTGCCGTCCGGAGTCTTCAGGACGTGAGAGCCGTACACCTCCTCGGGTGCCCCGTTATTTCGGCAGAAGACGCAGATTTTGGGTTCCTGCTTGCTCCTGGAGGCGGGTTTGCGCATCTTCCTCTCCATGCCGAACAGATCGAACCCGGCGAAGCTCCCACCGAAGCCCACCTCTCGCTCCGGCAGCTGCACGCCGAGCTGGTTCTGGAAGGGGCTCAGTATCGAGAAACGCTCCTTCAAGTCCAGGATGGAAGCCGGCGGGGGGCTCCCGGACGGGCAGCAGCAGTCCAGGTGACCGCTCTCCCCAACGCCGCCCGCGATTACGCACGGACACGGAGGGGAATCGTCCAAGCCCAGGGTCGCTTTAAGGGACTCGGTGATGGAGTTTGGGTTCTGGGGGATGCTGAGCTTATTATTCTTCGTGACCAACGTCGTCAGCCCGAGATAGTCGTTCCAGAAATTAAAGGTATAGTCGTAGGGGCTGCGCGCATTCAAATAGTTGTGATTGAGAAAATCCATGGCCGCTTCTGGTCGTTCGCTCGCGGTCATGAGGGTGAAGCAACCAGAGTAATCCGTAAAGTCTTTGTAGCCAGAGTTCTTCTCCAGGAACGGTTCGTGCACGGCGACGTGGTCTCCAGTGTTCCTGTTGTGTTTGTGCGTCCTGCAAACAGGCTTTCTGGTTATAAGGACCAGGAGGGCGGGGCGCTCTCCCTTCAAAAACCAAGTTTGTGATCAGGTTGAAAGCAGGCTCCCTCTTTTCAACAGCAACGTTTAGACACAGTTGTTTTTCTTGCAGCCGGGCACTTTTTTTCTTCTTTTCGACATCAATCATCATTCTGGCTTTCATGGAGATTCTGGCATTTCCATTTATTAAAAGTTGTTAATAGTTAATGATTTGGGAGCAGAGCAATAATTTCGCTCTTACTGTAGTTAATTACGTTATGTCAGCTCGAGCACCAATCAATTAGAGGAGGACAGCTCGGCTCTTTGTTTCCTCTTGGTGCTAAGACGTTACAATTCCGCATGTTTCGTGAATCAATATCTTTAATCATTGCGCTTGAATACCGTCAGCCAACTCGGGCGTTCGCACACCTTAACCCGTTGTGTGCCAGCAGCAGAGGCCCTTTGTTCCACGCAGCAGCGGCCATCCTCTCTCAGTGTCCGGGGAGAAAACGGTCTGTGCTGGTGCATCCGATCAATGTTGAAATGGAACCAATATGAGCGAACCTATAAACCAGGCACTCGTGTTTCCTCACGCTGAAGAGGTTTACGGCTCAATTGTATTGTCTATTCAAACCAGCAGATTATGATGGGTAATTAAATACAACTGTAGGCTATTTCTTACATGTAGAACATATTATGTATAAAAAGTCGGTTTTCCTCCAGAGTTGTAAACTCAATAGGAGTAAACGACTCTTAAGGACATCTTGGTGTAATAAACCGCTGCTCAATTGTGACGCACTGTCAGTCCGGGTAGTAAAAGCTCATAAAATCCAGACAAAACACCACATCAGTCCACCCAGTCCTGATGTAAACACAACATGCAGAACTGCTCTTCAACAGGGGGCAGCATAGTGCAATTACAGGTCAGTTCATTCAAACTAAGAGACCCCTCCCTCCCACGTCTCTCCTCCCCCGGAATGAATGAGACTGCCAAACAAAACCTACAGATGATGGCCACGGGCTGGAAGATGAAAGTCACCCATGATGTCCCAGCAGCCAGATGTCATTAGTATATTCTGATTCCACAGAGGCAACAAGGAGCACACGACCAAGCCGCACGGATCAATGAAACTAGGACTCATAAACTGAATTAAATAAGAGAGTGGGTGGAGGTCTAATGAGGAATCTGTACAATTAATGTAAAACACAACATGTGTAGTGTTGTTAAAGGGTCAGTTGACTCTTCTCCCTTACCTCTTCTACCTTACCTGGTATCTGTGGTGCTAACGGAGCTAAAAAATCATAACAGCGGCATGCTCATTCATCTGGTTAGATCCACAGAACACACTGGTCAAGGTACTATATCCTTGCTCAAAAGTAGTTCCCTAGAAAGCTGTTCAGAGAGAGGTCTAGATGTGTGCCTGCTTGGCAGCCTGACAATTTTGACAAAAGATGATAAAGAAGTAAATAAAAACACTCGCTATGTAATTATATCTCAAATCGTAGGTAGGTATATTCAGGAATCATCACAATTATCATTATAGATGAAAGATATTTTTTTGGTTTGGAGTCCTTTTTTTCACTTTTATGAAAAGCTGAGAAATAGGGTGCTATTCGGCACTCAAGTCCTCCCCCCCCCAAAACAACTGCTTCATTCAATCATTTAGGTCTGAGAGCCACATCTGGAGAGACTGTGTTGGCGTTTCCACATTGTAAACAGACACATCTGTTGGGGTTGTCAGAGTTTTTAAAGAAACAATCTTGTACTGTTGGTTACTTTGACGAAATGGACCATGTTGCCTTCAGCTTTACTGGAAAACACCGAGTTGTTGCCTTAAACATCAATAACAACAGCATAGAATAACCTTTCATAGAATAATGTTCATGGAGCTCCAGTATGCATGTATAGAATGTTAGGGCTCTTGTTTCTTTTCTTGTTGTATGCACATATCTGGAAAGCTCATTGCATGTAGAGGGATAAGTATAATCTGCTGCTTTTGCGACTTTTCTTTTCATTTTAAAGTACCTGTTAGGAGTCTATACATTTACAATTTTGATCTCTTCAATGATCCATTCAGATCCAATCCAATCACATTCGAGCACATTGGCTCTCCGTCAGTGATGGAAGCGATCCAGCTGTCATAAACGGTCCGCTCGCTGCAGGCCTCTGACCCTGTGATGAAGTGGGCAGCTCAGGAATGTGGAAACGGCCCTCTTGAAACAATGCTAACACGAGTGACTGGTGTTCTAATTAAAACTTCCAGGGGGAGGCTGCGAGAACTCACTGACTCAGAAGGCCCACATCTATTTTTAAGGGATCTAATAAGAATGCACTACCTTAGGAGACACCGTGATAAAAGCGGAACAAAAAAAGGCATGGTCCAATGAGCTGCGGTGTTTTAGGGGCCATTTCTCTCTGCTTTCTGCAAGTTAGTTTGAAATAGTATTGACTGCTCATTGGATTTTCCCTCCGGAGGCCCCATTCGGCTGGCGCAAAAAAAATATGAATTTTATGACGAAGCATTAATAATGTATGTAATCGCCAATTCCTTTTTTGCATGCCAGATTGTGCGAGCAGATTCGCCGTGTTGCTGCAGTGCCGCTGAAGTAGTCATGGCCGTATTATTTCTTAATTTTGTTGTGACTAAGAGGGATTAATACTCATCCATTAACTCAAGCTAATTCCGCGGCCGGCTCAAGGTTGCACGAGTATATTGGACAAGGAAGTGAGATTAGCAGTGGAATGAGGCATAACATCAGCGTGGTGGCTGTGGCCTGTTAATCGATTTAGGAATCACACTGACTAAGTGATTGTTGTGTAAGTGTTTTTTTGTTTGTTTTTGTTTTTTAGCTTGACAGGAGGAGAAAACGCAGATCATCAGGAAAAGTGGTGGCTGGCTGAGGAAGACACTTTGTTCTTAATGACCAAATCATATTTCCTGCGTGGGCTCATTAGCAATCTGAGACTTGCATGTCAAATGTTTTTTTTTGTTGTTGCTCAAGATGTATTATGCAATGCAAATCAGCCCAGACGTGCCTATTGCTGAAGTTAGGGGTATGATACTGTGAGATTTATACCATCCCGTAGAGCTAATCTCTTCATGCATTATGATTATAATCAACACATTCCGTGCTGTGATCCAGGCCTTGTGTTGTGCCGGAAAAAACTCTGCTCAATTCATATTTGACGCGATAAATGAATGATTGATGGTATTGTGAAATGCATGAAGAAATCTGATCCCATTTCCCCCCCCCACACCTTTATTGCATCTGCTCATACTGCTAGCAATTATTTAAACGTATCATTTGGGCATGTTTTGCATCATTAACATGGTGTCTGTAACCTCTTAGGCTAAATCAGAGAACACACTCTTTCTGTGAAATGTGTTTCTGTGGCTGTCTGGATATCCTTTCGTTCTCTGTTGCTTTTTTCATGAGGCGAGTTTCGGCAGTGGTGTTGGAGAGGGTGAATGCATCGGGAAGGATTACACAAAAGCGCGCACACACATAGGGAAGCTTTGTGCGTATTCCTACACTGCTGCTAGAGGCAGCTGCTATGGATAAATCATTTCAATGCCTTGCTCAAAGATACTTTAGAAGTAGATATTCCCTTCAACTCTATTTAAGCTGATAATCCAGGCCTCGGCACCACAAATGGGCCTCAGTAATGCTCCTTTTCTTCATAAAACAACCACCCCCTCCATCTGCGTGTTTGCAGAGCGACATATTGATCATGAAACAATACATAATGGGTTTGCAGGAATTGCTGAAAAATCCATTTTGCCGTATCGATTGTCGTAATGAAGATGAATGCTGAATCCCTCAGTATGAAAATGTCTCATGTGTATTTGCATCCTGCTTTTTTCATACCCATTTTATTTATTTTTTTGTTACACTGGAAAGACGGCTCTTTCTGTTTGAGCCTCAGACCCAAAGATTACCATGTGTTTTTATTCACAACCATTAGAGCTCTGTTTGTGATTATGCAAATGAGAAAACATGCAGGAAATTTAATCAGTGCGCAAATTTGATTTCACGTGAACGATTGCTCGAGGGTGGGCGGGGGTGGGGGGAGCTTGATCGTATAATATCGAGCAACCAAATCATGTTCAATATTTGTTTTCACAGTGGGCCTCTACTTGGACATGCCGCAGCTTTATAGGCTTAAGGTTTGCTGTGGTTTTGGAGGCTTGAAGTTAACAGCACCGCAGCACATGGTTTGATTATCCTTTGTTCTCCCCTGAGATGCTGAATGGAAACTGCACTTAATGGGAAGCATTTCCATATAGGCAGCAAAGCACAGCAGCTTGTGTTTATGCATTTTTATTATTGTTGCGTCCCCTGAACCAAATATCTAAGTGCTCCGTTTTCTTTTGTTCCCCAGCTGAACAGCAAGAAAATGGGCTCTTTGTAATTGCACATAAACACGGAGGATGCCTTTGTACGGTTATGTGTGCCGCTGTAGATAACTGGTGATTAAACTGGATGTTACTCCAGGAGCATGACAGAAATGAAACTAATAAAGCGTGTCAGTCAATAATAAGGGAGGTGGGTCTGTTGATCAAGCTCAGAGATGTAGAACAAATAAATGTCATTCAGGTTTTGGCAGCGACCGGTCTCGGTTCAGTCGACCTGCGACCCGAAGTTTCAAGGTAATGACAGGAAGGCTGTTGTACATCTTTCATTAACAGTCTCTGGAAACGGAGCTCTACGGCCTTGACATTCTTTGTACGCACACTCCCTCACAACTTGACCTTGTATTAGTCTGCATGCACATCTTGGCAGAAGCAAATGAAGCTTTGCCATTTGCCCCGGAACTGCAGAAGAAAACACGCATTGCTGAATCGGCACAAGTGAAGTACCTCCAGAGCAAATTTGTGCACATTTCCCCTGGAGATCTCAAGTTACTTCACAACTTTTTAGCAAATACCAGAAGCCGAGTGACTTTCAGTGTGCAGAGGGCAGCTACTTCTACATGTTTGTGGGGCATATGGCCTCA